TTGGGATTAAAAGACACCATCATGCAAGCCACACAATTTCCACATGCAGAGCATCACAATTGAAAAAGCTATCTCACCAGTCACTAACTCCCCTAACTTCAGAATGTGGTCGGACTTGAAAAAGAGATTTTGCAGGGATTCCTCAAACACGCAGGCCTGTAGTCAGCTAAGAACCAATCCTTCAATTCCAACTGATAGGAGGTCGCTAATGTCATCATACTAACTCCAAGAACTGTCAGCACTTTTTAGACTCAGAGAATGCACATGGAAAGTGACCAAAGCAGCCATTGTCTTTGATACTGAATTCCTTTCACAATAACTAATTCAGCGATATGACTACTTTTAGGGCCCACTCAGAAGAAGGCTGCTTCATATTGTCAATATGAACACCATTGAATAACGGTATTTACTACTGGTACTTTTATTTGGGGGTGCTCCATGTGGGTTTTCTGTTAGAAATGCCTTGAGCAGCCTCTGGTTAAGAACACTTCTGATCAAAAGCAAGCTCTATTTTTGCGTGATTAAGGATCAAATCACATTTCCTAGGAACAGTGTAAGAGTCACTTTTGGGCTCAGGAACAAATGGGTGACCGGTTATAGCACACTGCAGATTTTCTCTTCTAAACCATGACCCATTTCCTTTGCTGAATGATGATCAGCTGATGAAGCGTCATACACATTGCTTAAAACATGTTATGCTTGCATTCAAACACTTCTGAGCAAGCAGCACAGGAATTCATCATAAGGAAACCAGGTAAGGGCAAACAGGGAGCACAGACAATTCAATAGCTTCCAACGATGTGTCTGGCTGACAACAGTGTTGTGGAACCACAGCTCACCGGATCAAAATGTCAGGAATTTTTCTTAATATGCAAGATTTAAAAAAAATATGCAACTTCACTTGCCATCTACCCCTCAGATCCTTCCTAATCTAACTTAATCACAGCAGCTGGCAAAAACTGATTTTCCAAGCAACAATATGTATTTTTGTGAGCACTCCATGTTGTGATACAGTGCAATGTTTTTTGGGGGTTTTTTTAGTTTTACTTATCTCAAAGGGCAATTAAATCACATTTACTTTATAAAAGACCTGGTAAAAACCATGGAATAGAACAAGAGCTGCTATTGGCACTTAAATAAAGTGTTGCTCCCTCTTGCTAGAGTAATCATTTTCTGGAAAATATTACCAGTGTTTGTACTCCGTTTGAGCACACTCAGTATCTTTTTCCTGCCCTTTCTAATGCAGCCTCAGTTCTCTCCTACAACCAATTCACTGTCCCTTGTCATTTTTTCTATTATATGTTATAATGTACTCCTAATAAACTGATTATCATGCTATGTACTCCTGCTTTGAGGAAGTAGGACTAACAGAGCTACCAGCATTATTGAATTCTGCTTGGAAATATAGCTGTGAGGACTTGCATGTCGTCTTTTCAGATTCTCTGTTTTTCTAGATTCTCTTTGGAACTTTGGCTATGAGGACTTTCATGATGAGTGCATTGCATGTTATTACTGCATAACAATGGCAGCGTTACTTTACTTTCTGCATGCAAGTGGGTGGTAAATGTCTCATCAACCCCCAAAAATATAAGAAACTGCAGGACATTCAAAGCTAACACAAACAGGATGAACATCATTGTCAAATCTGTTTCAGGTAGATAGTTTGTTTTTAATGGGGACCGTTCTAAGGTAAAATTTGCCTGTCAGAAGAATACATCACGAGAATGAAAGAACAGTTGGCTACACTTTCCGTTTCAGAAATTGATCATATCTTCTCTTTGATCAGCAAGTACTCTGGTCAGGCATTAGTGATTCCTTTTAGCTGCAATGCTCATGTTACCTTCTACATAAATGATGCTGAGCTTCCTATAAAATGTGTGGCAAAGGAAGGGATTCTTTTTTCAGCAACTTAACTCTTAACTCTGCAAAGTTACAAGACAACAATAGTCTGGTGCAGAAACAAATATATTTTATCACTTTTGCCTTTTCTCTGCACTCTAGAACAGAAACTGGTTGGTTACAATATTGCATTAAGGTTTCCACTCACATTCAATGCTAGGTAAGCCAGTGTTAACACAGTTGGAGATTTTATGTAAAATACGTCTATCAAACCGGTGTGGTACAAGTATACTTGAATGCACCGTTAACTACACCAGGCTCAATCAATATTCTTGATTGCCTTTCCTTCTATTGCTACACAGGAAATGTTGACACAGGAGGTCACCAATTGGGATCCCTCCCGCTTCAGTTGGCCTTCAGCTCTTGTGAGCAACCATCACCAGAGGGTCCATCTACAGTGTAGAATTTCTGCAGTTTGACACCACTCTAACTACCATGTCTCAATGTTATAGACTCATGGAAGCTGTACTTTGGTGAAGCAACAGCACTCTTTGGCAGAGAATAATAAAGACCATGTGAAACTAGTACTCCTACAATTCCACAGCATTGAATGCTGGCCATTAAAATGGTATTAATTCTACAGCATAGATGCATCCAGAGACAAAGACAACTGCCCCAGTTAAATCTTCAGGAGGACAGGTGTTCCTCCACAGCAAAAAGGAATTGCATAACACTTTATCATAAACAATAATTTTTCAGAGATAAATAATAGCACTTCTCCTAATACAGTGGTTCCCAACCTGTGGTCCATGGACCACCAGTAGTCCCCAAGAATGAAAATATGGTCCACGGCCTCAATGTTACTACACCCTTGCCTCAAAACCATGTGGCAGCGAGAGTGAGAGGTCTCGCAAAACTTTATTATAGTGCCGAGGCAACTGTGATGTCGGGAGGGGAGAGGCTGACTATCCCCATAGGATTACTACAACCACATCAGCTCTAGATAATGAAATATGTTTTTCTGTAGGCAAGCAGATGACAATTTCTGGATTGCATATATTCTGTATCAGACACTAGAGCAGATGTGGTATATCCAATGCAATTTTCTGAATCAGCACCCCAAATAACCAAACCAAATCTAAAGTTGACCAAAAACTGATTTGAAGCCCTTTTGGTACTAATGTTGGAGAGTGGTCCCCAGTCAAAGTTAAATCTTCAGAGGGACAGGTATTTCTTCACAGCAAAAGGATTTTTTTTCCCCTCTTTGGCAGAGAAGACTAAATACTATGTGAAACTAGAACTCCTACAATTCCACATTATTGAGATCTGGTATCAAACTGGTATCAAACTGCATTATTTTCTACAGCGAAGATGCATCCAGAGACAGGGACAGGTGTTCCTCCATAGTAAAAAGGAACTGCGTAACACGTGATCATTTCCAAACAAACAATGATCTTTCAGAGATAAATAATAGCCCTCCTCCTAATAATATATTGGCAGTGATTCTCAACCTGTGGCTGCCCAGATGCTTTGGCCTTCAACTCCCAGAAATCCTAACAGTTGGTAAACTGGCTGGGATATCTGGGAGTTGTAGGCCAAAACACCTGGGGACACACAAGTTGAGAACCACTGACTTAGAAGATCTCCCCACTGTTGTCCATTGCGGCTCTCATATCAATGGGGGAACAAATCTACTTGGGATTTTAGTCTGGTTTTTTTTCTTCTTCTTCAAATGTGCTATCTAAAGCCTTGACACTTCAGCCCAAAAAGTTTCAGCATCCTTGGATAACTAATTTGAAGTCTGGATAAAAACCAAGAGTAGCTTCACTATTCCATCAACATGGAAACCTGGGGACCCACAGGTTGAGAACCACTGATATAATGGGGTCTGGAAAGTAAAACCAACCCCCCCCCCCCCCCCCCGCCCAGTCAAATTGACTGCCCAGTCATTACAACTGCAATTTTCCCCTTCCATCCCAGTACTAAATGGCAAGTAATTCCACAAAGCAAACCAGAAAGATCTTCTAATACAGCTACATTTTCCTAACTCTAGTCCAGGAGTCCTCAAACTTTTTAAACAGAGGGCCAGGTCACAGTCCCTCAAACTGTTGGAGGGCCGGATTATAATTTGAAAAAAATGAATGAATTCCTATGCACACTGCACATATCTTATTTGTAGTGCAAAAAACACTTAAAACAATACAATAATTAAAATGAAGAGCAATTTTAACAAATATAAACTTATTAGTATTTCAATGGGAAGTGTGAGCCTACTTTTGGATGATGAGAGAGGATTGTTGTTGTTGTGTGCTTTCAAGTCGTTTCAGACTTAAGTTGATCCTGAGCGAGGGCCAGGTAAATGACCTTGGAGGGCTGCATCCAGCCCCCGTGCCTTAGTTTGAGGACCCCTGCGTCTAGTCGTACAGGCATTTGGGACTTCAACTCCCAGAATTACTGACTAACCCCTGAAGACCAGTGGCGGGAAACCACTGCCATGTATGAACCATCTCCAAAGGTGTGCCTAACATTGTAGAATTAATGCAGTTTGACACCACATTAATTAGAATGCTTCAGAGAGGCATCTACATCAGGCCTGGGCAAACTTGGGCCCTCCAGGTGTTTTGGACTTCAACTCCCATCATTCCTAACAGCCTCAGGCCCCTTCCTTTTCCACCTCAGCTGCGGCTGAGGGGGAAAAGGAGGCTGTTAGGAATGATGGGAGTTGAAGTCCAAAACACCTGGGGGGGCCCAAGCTTGCCCATGCTTAATCTATATTGTGGGATTAATACTGCTGAGCATCCCTTTAACTTCTAAGGTTCGATGCTGTGGAATCACTGGAGTTGGAGTTTTATTTACGCTGTCTTTAGAATCCCCATAGCATGGAGCTGTGTCAGCTAAAGCGGTGTCAGGCTGCGTTAATTCCACAGTGTGGATGCACCTCGAGAGGACTGGGATGAGGATGCGAAGAGAGAGAGAGGAGTCCGGGTGCCCTGAAGACACCTGAGGGCGAGGGAGAGGGAGAGGCCTGCGGGCCCAAAGGGGCAGTCTTACCTCAGGCGAAGCCCCCCACACACAACCATCCCCCACCCCTCCGTTGCCCTGACGACGACTCGGGCGCCATTTCCCTCCCTCACCCCGGTCCTCCTCCTCCTCCTCCTCACCAGAGCACCAGGGGGTTCCCAGCCACCCTTCCTCCTCCTCCGCCGGCCTCCGGTTCCGGCTGCCCAGCCACCCGCCATGCCGGGCCGGGCAGCGGCGGTGGCAGAGAAGCCAGCAGCCGCCGGCCTCCAGGATAGCGGGAGGGAGAGACGGGGGTGCGTGACAACCAATCAGAGGAGGAGGCGGGACTTCTCCCAGCCAATGGGGGAAGAGGGGGTGCGAGGCCTTTCTCCCCCTCTCCACACACACACACACAGGGCGCGCGGAGGGCTCCCCGCCGCCCAATCAGGCGCGAGGAGGCCCACCCGAAAGAGAAGGCGCGCCGCCATCCAATCGAAATAGAAAAGGGGACAAGTGGCGGACCAATCAGCGCGGCCGTTCCTTTGATTTCCCTTCAAGGCTGAGCCAATAGAAAGAGAGCGGGGAAGGAGAGGGTCCGCTTCAGACATCACCAGGGCGCCACGAGTCTCCCAAAGCGGAAGGGAAGGAACGAAGGTGGTCTCTCCCTCCGACTAAACAATAACAATTGGGACACCCAATGCCGCTAAGATATAAACCTCACAACCCCTGAGGATGGCTGCCATAGATATGGGCGAAACGTCAGGAGAGAATGCTTCTGGAACATGCCCATGTTGTTGTTCATTTGTTCAGTCGTCTCCGACTCTTCGTGACCTCATGGACCAGCCCACGCCAGAGCTCCCTGTCGGCCGTCACCACCCCCAGCTCCTTCAAGGTCAGTCCAGTCACTTCAAGGATGCCATCCATCCATCTTGGCCTTGGTCGGCCCCTCTTCCTTTTGCCTTCCACTTTCCCCAGCATAATTGTCTTCTCTAGGCTTTCCTGTCTCCTCATGATGTGGCCAAAGTACTTCAACTTTGTCTCTAGTATCTTTCCCTCCAGTGAGCAGTCGGGCTTTATTTCCTGGAGGATGGACTGGTTGGATCTTCTCGTAGTCCAAGGCACTCTCAGCACTTTCCTCCAACACCACAGCTCAAAAGCATCGATCTTCCTTCGCTCAGCCTTCCCTAAGGTCCAGCTCTCACATCCGTAGGTGACTACAGGGAATACCATGGCTTTGACTATGCGGATCTTTGTTGCCAGTGTGATGTCTCTACTCTTCACTATTTTATCGAGATTGGACATTGCTCTCCTCCCAAGAAGTAAGCGTCTTCTGATTTCCTGGCCACAGTCTGCGTCTGCAGTAATCTTTGCACCTAGAAATACAGTCTGTCACGGCCTCCACATTTTCTCCCTCTATTTCCAGTTGTCAATCATTCTTGTTGCCATAATCTTGGTTTTTTTGACGTTTAGCTGCAACCCGGCTTTTGCGCTTTCTTCTTTCACCTTGATTAGAAGGCTCCGCAGCTCCTCCTCGCTTTCGGCCATCAGAGTGGTGTCATCTGCATATCTGAGGTTGTTAATGTTTCTTCCAGCAATTTTCACCCCAGCTTTGCATTCATCCAAGCCCCGCACATCGCATGATGTGTTCTGCATACAAGTTAAAAAGGTTGGGTGAGAGGATGCAGCCTTGCTGGACGCCTTTCCCAATCTTGAACCAGTCTGTTGTTCCGTGGTCAGTTCTGACTGTTGCTACTTGGTCCTTGTACAGATTCCTCAGGAGAGAGACAAGGTGGCTTGGTATCCCCATACCACCAAGAACTTGCCACAATTTATTATGATCCACACAGTCAAAGGCTTTAGAATAGTCAATGAAGCAGAAGTAGATGTTTTTCTGAAACTCCCTGCCTTTCTCCATTATCCAGCGGATATTGGCAATTTGGTCTCTCGTTCCTCTGCCTTTTCTAAACCCAGCTTGAACATCTGGCAACTCTCGCTCCATGTATTGCTGGAGTCTTCCTTGCAGGATCTTGAGCATTACCTTACTGGCATGAGAAATAAGGGCCACTGTACGGAAGTTTGCGCAGTCTTTCGCATTTCCCTTTTTTGGTATGGGGATATAAGTTGATTTTTTCCAGTCTGATGGCCATTCTTGTGTTTTCCATATTTGCTGGCAAATGGCATGCATCACCTTGACAGCATCATCTTTTAAGATTTTGAACAGTTCAGCTGGGATCCCGTCGTCTCCTGCTGCCTTGTTGTTAGCAATGCTTCTTAAGGCCTTCTGTCCATAGTTCTTCTGGGACTCTGTTTACTAAATCTAGTCCTTCAAATCTGTTCTTCACTTCCACTGTATATTCGCTAGGAATGTTAGTGAGATCATATCTAACTGGTCTGTGTATTTTCCCTGATCTTGTTAGTTTTATTCTAAATTGGGCAATAAGAAGTTCGTGATCTGAGCTACAGTCAGCCCCAGGTCTTGTTTTCACCGACTGGATGGATGTCCGCCACCTTTGGCTGCAAAGGATGTAGTCCAATCTGATTTCGGTGTTGACCGTCTGGTGAGGTCCATGTGTAAAGCCGTCTTTTAGGTTGTTGGAAGAGAGTATTCGTTATACACAGCGAGTTTTCCTGGCAAAATTCTATCAGCCTGCGTCCTTCTTCATTTTGTTCTCCCAGACCATGCTTGCCTGTGATCCTGTTGTCATTTGACTTCCCACCTTGGCATTCCAGTCTCCTGTAATGAAAATAATGTCTCTTTTTGGTGTATTATCCAGTAGGTCCTGCAGTTCCTCATAGAACTGATCTACTTCTGCTTCTTCAGCAGCTGTGGTTGGGGCGTATATTTGGATCACTGTAATGTTGAAAGGCTTTCCTTGCACTCGAATTGAGATCATTCTGTCATTTTTTGGGTTGTATCCAAGCACCGCTTTAGCGAATTTCTTATTAATTATGAAGGCTACTCCATTTCTTCGATGTTCCTCTTGTCCGCAGTAGTAGATCTGGTGGTCATCTGATGTGAAGTGGCCCATTCCAGTCCATTTCAGTTCGCTGACCCGCAGAATGTCTATCTTTAGTCTTGACATCTCACCAATAACAACATCCAATTTGCCCTGGGTCATAGATCTTACATTCCAGGTTCCTATGGTGTGTTGATCTTTAGAGCATCGGATTCGTCGTTCACCTCCAGTACCGTCGGCCGCTAGCCTTCCTTTCGGCTTTGAGCTAGCTGCGTCATCACATCTGGGGCTGGTTGAACTTATCCTCTGCTCCTCCCCAGTAGTATGATTCCGACCTGGGAGTCCCATCTTCCAATGGCATACCGACATATCTCTGGTTGTACTGGTCCATTTAGTTTTCTTGGCAAGGATACTGGAGTGGTTTGCCATTGCCTTCCCCAGGGATCACGCTTGGTCTGGCCTCTCTGCCACAACCGTCCCGTCTTGGGTGTCCCTTCACGGTTTCGCTCATGACATCATTGAGGTGCTCAAGCTCCAGCGCCCCGACAAGGCGGTGATCCTTTGCTGGGACCTATACATTTGCCGGAAAATTCACAGCAACCCAATCTAAGATAGCTGTATAATGCAAGAATCCGTTGCTTCAGTGGCATCTAACCGAAAGGAGAAAGGACAGTGTGGGAGTCAGGCCTACATTTAGGGTGTATCTACACATTAGACATCTTAGTTGCCCTGAGTCCTAATGTTGGAAGAAAAGCAAACTATAAATAGAAGAAGAAGCAACAACAATGGAGGAGAAATGTAGAATAATGCATGCATGCAAATGTGGGAAAGCAGATGGCAGGGATTCCAAGGACTGAAATATTATTTTAGTTTCGAGTGTGGGAAAAATCATTTGCCTAGGGAGTGTTATTTGGTGCAGGGCATAATTCATAGCAGAGAGTATATATATGTGATCTAGATTCAATCCATGGCAACTCTAACTTTACAACTTTCATGCAGTATATCAGGAGAAGACAGGATACCTTGGAGAAGATAATGATGTTGGGGGAAATGGGAGGAAAAAGGAAGATGTTATCCTTGATGTGACTGACTCGACCTTGAAGGAGCTGGGGGTGGCGACAGCCGACAGGGAGCTCTAGCTTGGGCTGGTCCATGAGGTCAGGGAAGTGACTGAATGGATAAACAACAAAATCCAGATAAAACTCTTACATGAGATCTGGGAAATCCCCCAACTTTCTGAGATTGGCTGGATCAAAGATCTTACTCATTAACAATAATTTTGCATATCCATATTCAGTTTGCTCCCGTGACTTGGCAAATGCCAGGCAACCTCCCCGTTAGCCAGGTTGCATTAGCCAGCTGTGATTCTAGAGCAGGATGCTCAAATAAAACATTTTTCTCCTAGGCATTTAGATATGCTCCAGGAGTTTCAAGAAATTGCCTATTTCCTTGTGTGCCTGGCTGCAGTAACACAGCCACTGCCTGGTCACCCCTCAGACACTAAATGTTCATGATGGGGTTCCTGGGCATGTACATTGCATGTAGATTATTGTGCAAATAGGATGTCATGTTCTTCTCTTCCAACCAAGAGATACAGTACCTAAATACGACACCAACTAGATTCTATTAAGTGTCTTTAGTGTTCCTGATGGATTAGGATCCTTGAGTCCACTCAACAGAAAGATTCCCAAATATCACAGAACTTTCTATATATTGAAGTAAATGATGTACTTTCTGACTTTTGTGAATTTGATTATTCGTAGATTTGACTTTAGAAATGTTAGCTCTAAAATCTCTAGGTTCTCCAGTATTTTTCTTGCAGTCATGCCAAAGGACCTAGGCCTCTTCAACGCTGCCATATAATCCAGATTATCAAAGCAAATAATTCACATTATGTCTTTTGCATTGGATTATATGAGTCTACAATGTAATATAATCCAGTTCAAAGCAGATAATTTGGATGTCATATGACAGTGTAGATCCAGTCCTAGAAATACTTGAGAGGTTAAAAAATAGCAGTGTATTCATGTTTTTTATTTTCATGGGGATCCTGTGCCCCTAATCATAATGAGTGTAGAGGTCCAATTGTACTATTATCATCTAAGGAGTAGGGCACTTGTGAGACCAATGCATTAAGAATCTAAAATTACCTTTCCTGCCCTGTCTGACTGAACTGTTAGTGATTTTCCAGTATTGCATATTTAGTCAGATTGATACCACCTATAAATGACTAGATGTTGCTAAGCCTGGTCATGTCACAACGTTTATTTCCTAGTGGGGTTTCTTATTTCACAGCTGCACTTTTATTTAATTCCAGTAACTACAGCGAACTATAATAAGACAGCAG